GGGAGCAGGAGGAGAGACTGGACCACGGGGAGCAGGAGGAGCAGCAGGAAGCTACAGGTTTGTGTTTTTATTCCATTGATATCAACAAGAACAGCACAACACAAAGTGTTTTCATAGCACAGCTCTGTGTTCACATCTCACTGAGTAATGACTGTAACATTAGCTGTGCAGTGCACATCAGTAATAATTCTATCAGCGCTGTATAGCGACAGCATGTTACAGGAATATGTTGTTATTGTTTTACATCTGTGGGATCAAAAACATTACAGCCTACAACCCCTAATAACTGGCATGATCATATAAGCAACATAATAAAGAGCTAATAATAAAGCCTTATCTGAGTTTCTCCTGTTTATGTGTTCAGACAAGAGATGAGTGTGGAGCAGCACAGGAGCTGACAGCTGCAGACATGGTGACCCACCTTCTGCTGGAGTGTCATGGTGTTCTTATGAACTGTAGGGACACACCTTTCACTTCTCCCAGCACTGCATAGAAGGTTTTTATGGATATATTCACAGGCAGTATGATGTTACTGTGTAAGACCATATTAGATAGTGTGGAGATGAAAACACTGTTTCCACAGCATATCGACATTTTATTTATTGGCAACATGGCTCTTTAGGCCAGGGAACCTGTCTTGTCATCCCCGGCTGCTGTATTTGTCCCTCTGAAGGCTTCATACAGTTCCACAAGTACTCACACACCTGCATATAGGTGTATACAGATATAATTATGGTTTTTATTATTACTCCTATTGAATCTTTTTAATTTAATTGTTTTTCTATATCTATTTTCACACATTTGCTGTGCAGTTATATTTTAATGAATATATTCGTGAATATTTGTTCAACTGATATATTGTTCCGTTCCTTTGGATTTTTGGTGGTTGATTTGTAAGTGCACTGCTCAGATGTTGATGAACAAATTATTCAAGTTGAAAATCTTTACTGATGTACATTCTATAATTTGTTAGACCAAAATGATGTAACAACAGTCAATGGAAACCAAAATCATTAACCCATTCAGGGCTGCAATCAAAATCATAAAGAAAATCAAAGAAAAAAAAACTGAAATCACAGGGCGATCCAAATTGCGTGACTTTTATCAGAGCAACTCATAATGTTACTCAGTACTGTGTAAGACCCCCACGTGCCTGTGTGCACTCCCGACAATGTCTGGGCATGATGCTCCTGATGAGTTGGCGGATGGTGTCCTGGGGATCAAACCTGATCAGGCTGCAGGTACCGCCTCATGCTACCAGTAGTGACAAGGACACTAGCAGAACATAAGACTAAAGAAGAATTAGTCAGGAAGGATAAAAGGGAGCAGCTGTCTGTGGCCAGCACATATAAAACCATTCTCTTTTTAAGGGTTGTCTTAAATTTGGGTCTCCATTGCACCTGTTGTCACTTTAATTTGCACCAAAGCACGTGAATCTGATTCATTATCACTTGTGCTTCCTAAATGGACAGATCTATATTCCTGAAATCAACTGACTTGCTGTTATACTGTGATGATTAAGTGTTCCCTTCATTTTTTTGAGCAGTGTATTTTCCTCCATTCAACGTCTTTTCTGTTCGCAAACTTCCTACAGACCTTTCAGAATGATTGCAAGCAATGCAATTCATTGTAAAAATGTAGGAGACAGCACAGATATTTGTTGAGTAAAAGTGAAAAGGACCTGAAAAGAAATCTACAATAAATCTAAAAGTCCAGATACATGGAAAATTAATAGTAGAGTAAAAGAATGATTGCACTTTGTTACATCCCACCGTTAACTTCAGTGTCACAGATTAGTTTCTGAGGTAGGATGAGAGAAGGGAGAGAACAGAGCCTGAGACACCCAGATCCTGAAGGGAACCACACACACACACACACTAAATGGTTTATGCTTCTTCAATATTCAGCATAAAAAGTGGTATTGTGAAACTGGATTAGAACACACACACACACACACACACACACACACACCTTTAAAAGGTGAAGGCTTGTTTTATAGTTATAAAGGAAAGCTTTAGGTTATCAATCAATCGATCAATCAAATTTTATTTGTATAGCCTGTATTCACAGATCACAATTTGCCTCATGGGCTTAACAAGGTGTGACATCCTCTGCTGTTCAACCTCGACAAGAGTAAAGTAGAACTACAAAAAAACTACTTTTCTCTCAGAGAGAGTCACGTGTGAGGAATCCTCTCCCAGGACAGGCAGCAGAAACTTATTTACAATCAAATCAAATTGCTGTCGCTTGAAACAACTGATCAGTGCAACCAACCTGCTCACAGTTGAATATGGAGACTTCCTCTTTAGGCAACAGCCTGGCTTTGAAAAGTTGCTTTGTGTATTTAACATCCATGCTTCTGGAGACAGTTGGTTATCTGAGTGTATGTACAATATGCAGCCAGTTCAACTTACCCAGGACATCTTTCATTGTTCGGCTTCACTTAACATTTAATCAGTCGTCCTGATAACCTGTAACTGTTTCAGTTAACTCTGGGTTTTCTTATCCAGCTACATGTGCGTTCAAGTTACAGAGGTGGATTAGTTCATTACGAGCGACTTCATCAAGATCATGAAAAAAGTTCCTGATATGATATGCGAGGAAACGCTGATATCTGCTGCTACAATCAGAAACCAAAAGTGACTTTTAACAAAGTGAAATATGAGAATCTAGAGAAATATTTAACTGTGAGTGGATACATTTTTAATAAAAGACGTCAGAGGCTTTAGATTTTATTTATCTAAATATTGATCTTATCTGCAGCAATAAAATAAAACCATAAAAGCATCAACACTGTCTGGTCTGAAGTCAGAATCAAATGATTTTATCAAATTAAAATTGTGAATGAATCCTCCATCTGTTGATTTTAAATCATCCCAGTCTGTGAACATTTCTGCTACTCTACTATTTCTAACTTTACTATAAACTCTCTTATCATTGACTATGATCGATGGTTTTTCAGTGATCTGATTGGCCAGTAGTTGGGCCGTTGACAGGTTTTAATCTGTTATCATGAATTGAACCTGGTCCGGAGCAGGTTAGCGGATCAGCATAAGTTACAATCGCGATTTTCCCAAGTGAACCAGCTTCGTAGGACTGAAAACTCGTTACCTTGATAACTGCAAATCCTTCTTCGTAGTACAGGCCCTTGGTCTCTGCTCAGTAAAACCAGCCTCCTGTATCAGTGAAGGCAATGTATATACCCTATTACAAACAATTGCAATATAATATAGAGTAGTATATGTTGAGGGATGAGAGGGATGAGTTTCTCATTTCCTCCCAACTCTCTCAGGCAACTTGGATTTGTGGCCTGCATATGACCAGAACA